TCCAGAACAAAAAAACATTTTTTTTCATCATAAGCCACATTAAAAAATCCAAGAAACATAACAACTCTGCAACCCCACCAACTGAAATTGCATCTTTCAAGCACTTACTTTCCTCAGCTAGAGATCTCTAACCCAAGCTGGCGCTCCTGGGCAGTCAGATGGAAGGTGAGAGTGGAGGACACCATAGGAGAGCTGTGCCTGCTCACAAGACCCTTGATCTCATTTTTTTCCCTAATAAGGACGTGAACACACCTCCCAGGACTGTCATTGCCATGACAACAGCATAAGTGGAGGGTGAGCAGGTTAGTGGAACAGCTCGCTTTCTAAATTCTCCACCAAAGCCTGAGGGTGCACTTGCTCATGAGATGGAAAAATTCATGTTGACAGTGTTCCTAAATGGACCTCCCCAAAAACTTAAGAAACACAGTTTCTGTCTGGAGAAGAATCAGAAATGGAATCTCTCCTTGGGGGGTTGGTTTTGCCAGAAAGGCAAGAACCCCTAAGATACATAATAGTATGTATTCCCCCTAATAAAACTAGGGCACGTAAATTATGTCTGTTTTCTGCAGAGTAAGAAACTGTGGCAAACCAGGGCAAAAACAATCCTCAGAGGAAACAGAGAAAAAGGTAATTTTAAAAAGGCTTTATAACACAGCCTTTCTGTACACAAAACAAATAGAATATAAATTTTGAAGTTGAAAGATAAACTCACTAAACTCTTACTGTTCTCCATGTTTTGTGATAGGTATTATTGCATTTAGTTCTTGCAGCAACCTTATAAGGCAAACATCACTCTCATCTCCATTTTACAGAAAAAAAACAACAGAAAAGCTGAGCAGTGGTCCCTGGGGCACACACCTACTGAGTGGCAGAGCAAAATTCAGAGGAAGGTTGCTGGGACTTCAGAGCTCCAGCTTTTAGCAGTCATCTCCCTGCTACCTACAAGAATCATACACAGATGCCTTCCTCATAGTATCTGTGCCTCAAAGATAGTTGGCAACACTGGGAATATTTACTCTGGACCAGTTCTTCAACTCTAGAGTACATTGGATCACATGGAGGACTTGGTCAAACAGTTTGCTGAGAGTTTCTGATGTGAGAATTCTAGGGCAGAATTGAGAATTTGATTTTCTAACAAATTCCTAGGTATTGTTGATAGTACTACTCTGAGAACTAAACTCTGAGAATCATTGTCTAGTCCATCTAAACTAAGGTTGTCTAAGTCTTACTGCCTTAGTAGCTTCCCCTACCTAATTAATCTTTCAGTTCCAAATCTCATGGGGTCCTGCTTCACAAGCTATTAGGTTATCTTTGGCAGTGCTGTATGCTTCGGAATTCCCTGAGCTCTTTTGAAAATAGAGAGTACAGTTGTCCCTCAGTACCCATGGAAGATGGGCTTCAGAATCCCCACAGATACCCAAGTCTGCAAATGCTCAAGTCCCTTACATAAAATGGTAAGAGTATTTGCATATAACCTGCACACATCATTCTGTATACTCTTTATAATGTTTTGAGATTCTGTCTAGGAACTAATCACAAGACAGTATTCACTGAAACCTCTTCAGGTCATTCACACTGAGAAAGTTAAGAATAGCCATAACACAAGTGAATGGCACTGTAACACACTTTCCCCCAAAACAATCCCTCCATCTGAAGATGAGGCTGTAACTGTTTCTGCACAGTCCCTATTTAGTTAATTTTCTTTCTCTACTCAGCCTCATGGAAAGCTGAAGGGAAATAAGGAAGCTCATGATGCATGTCTTGGAGAAACGGACCAGTAATCAGGATTAATCAGCTTAATGCCTGACTTGTTTATCCTGCAGAAAACATCACCTGGTGATGCCTCCATTGATTCCTTCAGAGTGTGGCAACTTTATCCTAGGCTTTTGTAGGCTGAAAATAAATGAACAGTTTAGTAACAAAGCAAAGCCATTAATGGAAAAGGACATTTAACTTCAAGAAGCTCAGGTGAATGAGGATTAGTGCAAAGCGGGCCCTGCTTCCTTTATGCTGCAGCTGCTGCTGGTGTTGGTATGAAAAGAGGAGTACATGGCTGGTCACGGCAAGGACTCAGACACAAGTGTCCGGAAACTCAGGCAGGAGAAAAACCATTGTGCAAGCAAAAAGGCCAATGGAATTAGGCAACAGAAAGGCAGGCTCTATTTCAGACTGGAAACAACCATTTCGGGGGAAGCATTTTCCTTTTCTTGAAGCATCGACTAACAAATCCTTCTCGCTCCATCTCCAGGAGGGCAGCTGGGGGTGATGGGAGTGTACAGATATCAGGATGACTCCAATAACTTTGGGCAGCTTGTGTCTGGGCCTACAAATGAGAACTTCTGAATTCTGCCCACCAGGTTATCACTCTAGGCCATATCATAGATAGTATAAAAGTAAAGTGTCCTAGGAAAAAAAAAGAAGACGACTAGACATTTATTAATATTATCAGTCAAGCTTTATGTTCAATTCTTTTTTTCTCCTGTATTTCTCATGACAACTAAAACAGATGTTCTGTACTGAATTACAGAAATGGTAACTAGGAAAATACAAATTTAGGCTTTTTGTGGTAGTGGAAATAAACCCAGAGATTACAAACATGTACCACCATGCCTGCCAATTGAGGTAATTCGTCCCTGCTCACTTAGCAAGTAAATTTGGGATTGGAATTCAATAGAGATCTGACTCTAAGTCATCATCTTAATCTGTATGTCACTGTCCCTGGAAACAATGATACAGAACACGTTTGAGTCTCAAATCTAAATGTATCAAAAGGACTGGCAAAAAGCAGAGGAAAACCCTTTTGATTCATATTGCTGGTGCAGTCGCATGTTGACAAGCATGGTTAACAGTCATCAGTGAGTAACTGGAAGATGTGAACTATATCCGGCACAGTCTATTAGGACTCTGATTCTTATGTCAGCATCCAGTAATGAAGGGAAGCAAAGGTGACTGGCCCATTCTCTATCTTCAGTCAAAAAGACAGGCACCTAACATCCTTTCTGAATCTCAAGGCAAAATTTGAGCCAAAGGTAGGAAATGATCAATACGTGGTTCCTACGTTGCCTTTGCCTAAAGATGTATACCAGCCAGCACCATCAAGGAGAGGAAAAATGTATTCAAAGTTAGCTCCTGGCTTACCAGACTGACAACAACCCATCTATGAGAACAACACAACCCTGAAATGAAGACAGTGTGGCAAGTTATGACCTCACATGGCTGCTTTGACAGAGTAACTCTCCCCTTTTCAGATGCAACACTTGGTAGTCTAAACCACTTCCTCCTCCCTCACTTCTTCACTTCATCAGTGGTGTTGAGGTTGCAGATTTGTTCTATGAATTATTTTATGTTCCTCCCCTGCCATCTGGCAATATTAGCTTTCTAATAAATTGCTTCAACTTGAGCAAATTTTTTTGACAAATCTGACTTTGAGTTGAATTGTGCAACATTCATAAATAGCAAATGCTATATGACTGGAATCAATGAAAACCCTTAGAGATGCCATCAAAAATACCTCTTGGCTGTTACTTAGCCTAATCATTTGAAAGTCACCTCCTGATTATTTTTTGAAAGAACTTTGTACATGCACATGCTTTTTTCATATGCACATGCTTATGTCGTCTTTATGCACGTATGTATTTGAATTTGGATGGATTCTTGCAAGCCAGTCATGCTTTGAGTATAAGTTTTATAGCCTTTTGGATTCCAAAGCAAGACACTTGGGTTTGAATCCTCTCGTTACTTACAGCTGTGCAAACTCAGGTATTTGTCTTAATCTGTTTGTAAACTCCAGTTTTAAAAATCAAAATAGATATAATAAAACTCTTGCAAGATTGTCATTAGAAATAAATGAGACTATACATGTAATTTACTTGGCACAGTGTGTTGACATATAATAACTAGTAATTGCTACTATTATGATAATAGGGGCTGGGGATTTAGCTCAGCGGCATAAGCACCTGCCTTGCAAATGTGTGGTTGTGAGTTTGATCCCTGTTACCAATAAAAAAAGAAAAAAACAAAAAAAATTTATTTACTATTATGATAATGGTTTATTAATAGATGATTATGGTGGATATCATTTGTAGTCTCTATTAATCCATAATTCCTATTTTCCAAAAATTGCCACAGGGATAGCTTTTATAAGGAATATTTTAATTATACATTACTGTTTTAATAATTGGGCAAGATTAAAGAAACTAAGGAAATATGAGTTTCAGTTACCTTCCTTTGTTTATTTAGCCACTGAGTTTTTAACATAGCCTAGCAGAACACTTGTCCTGAAAATATGGATTAGCAATTGGTCCCCATCAGACCGCTAAACTAAGAAACCATGAGGTGATCATGTTTGTCAATGTGCATGCTAAAGTTACACAATTTAGTTTGCATAAGGATGCTGAGGTTCAGGAAGAAGTAGATATGGCTCTCACTTGAACTCAAAGAGAATAATGCTTTGGCTCTGGTAATATTCCACATGCACAAAAAAGCTTATTTCCTTCTATCTATTATCTAGCTAGGTAGCTAGATATCCATTTACTTCTCTATTAATTACCTTTCTTTTGTTTACTGCTTCTAGTGGGTTTCCACTGGAGATCCTTCAAACAAAGGATCTTTCCTGGCAGTGTTATCTCTGTGTACAAGACCACCGGATTTCTATATGGCTAGGATGTCCTAAGTATTTGAAAGGTACCTAATTATTTTATAAAGAACTTTACACACACACACACACACACACACACACACACACACACACACCCCTTTACCCTTATACCATTTTCAAATTTTGAAGAACATTAAGCATAGCATAAAAAAATCATATATGTAGCTCAGTCACATTTGTATGGAAGAAAATAATAAAAGAATCATTTATATATGAATGAAAATCATATTTATGTAGAAGAAAATAATCAAAAGAGAGTCGACAACAGTCCTGATCTCACAGAAGAAGTTATCTGATTGATTTCTAAAATCTAAGCAAGAATAGGGAGACCCTGGCTCTTTACCTGGTGTTGCACTGGATACAGTTGGCCACTGCTGATCAGGCCCTCCCGGACCGGCCCGTAGGATGCCAGCCTCCTCCAGGTGCACAGAACTGTAATCATATAAACCCAGATAACAGTTAGAGCATAAATGCCTTTCCAGCTCTCCTTCCATCCTCTGAAATTGCTTACATCGATGGAGGCAGGGTTACCACTAACAGATCTGCTCGTGCTTAAACAGCGGCAATTACTGCTGAGCAGTCAGTCACCTTGCATAAACTGCAGAAGCAAACAATTATAGGGAAAGACATTCTATGAGTTCAAGATTCTCTTATGCTTTGACTTTAAAAAATACTTCTAGTGGAAATTCACTCATTAAGCCCTGACCTATCAATATTATTCCCCTCATTTTTGACATAGAATTTGTTTTTTTCCCCAAATGTTCTTGAATTTCACTAAGAAATCATATGAACTGTATTCATATGATTCATCAACATATAACTATTCTGGAACCAGTTCAGCCCAAGGCAGAATTTCCCCCCAAAAAAAGTTACAGAGACTTTAAGACTTGAAAAGTTAAGAGGCTTAGCCTATGTGTGGAAAAATAAGCATTACTGAAGCTCACAACTCTAAGGAATGTTCAGTACATTACATTGTGAGAAAGAAGTGACATTTTAGTTTCAATTTTGATTTCATTTCTTACCTGTTTAAATTTTATAGTAACCTGAAGAGATGCACATTTGGCTTTCTTCATTTGAAACTGAGACAAAGAAGTAATATATTTAAAATTTTTATTCTAAACATGGATTTTTAAGATGTATCTCATAGCTTTGGTAGTACTTTTCAAGTAAAGCACTAATTTGGTTGCAAGACTAAAAGTTGATACTGTAAAATATGCTTTCACCTGCATGACTCTGCCAGTAGCTCAGATACAGACAAAAGCTTATCTCTCCTTCTTGAAAGTGTGATAATTTTCATTCTAATTTCTAGTGTCCTAACATCTACATGAATGTTTCTGATCTGAAAGTCTAACATGGGTTCCAATAAGGCATCTCACCAGACCAACTACCAGCCTTAAGCCTTTTCCTTCCCTTATCGCTTCCTGTTCAGAAATAGCATCCAATATAATAATCTCTGCTCACTTGCAATGCTTTAGGAGATGTTAATTTATTTTAATCTAATGAATTTTTAATGGGCTAAAACTAATTCTTCATTAAGTCTACCCATACTTTGTAAACTCCATACATTGATCTAGTTGGTAAAGATTCAATTAACAAGTGCCCAGATATTTTGAAGAGTTTAAATCTGGAGTTTGTTTCTTCTTTAAATAAATCCTTTTTTTGTAGTGGTGATCATTAATTTCTTAAAACTCTCTCCATTCGGTTTCCAAAGACAGGCATAAATAATGAACCTTTTATTTGATCATATGGCATGAATACTAGATCAGTTCTAAGAATAAAGGCAGTTCATCAATTTCATCAAGGAGACAGAGTAGAAAAGGCAAAATTATATTAAGGAATGCTATTACTTTAGATTAATCTAAAGTAAACTAGCCAGGCATGGTGGCACATGCCTGTAATCTCAGCACTCTAAAGGCTGAGGCAGGAGCACATCCGTAAATTTGAGGCCGGCCTGGGCTATAAAGTGACTTCAGGGCCAGCTTGAACTGAATAGAGAAACCCTGCCTTGAAAAGACCAAAAAAAAAAAAAAAAAAAAAAAAAAAAAACTAAGTAAGCTAGATTTGGTTTCCAGATAAGTTTTTAAAAGGCCATTCAAAAGACTCATCTTGGAAGAGCCAAGCCATTGATCACAATAAGATAACAAAAAGATAAGATAAGGAGATTCTAATAGAAGTGAACATGAACAAGAATATCAATCAATTATTGTGGTTAATAAGACATAATAGTGTGAGACCAAAATCCAAGGTAAACATGTATATATACATTATATAATGTACCTATGTCCATAAGTATATTTATTAATTACAGACTTTAAGGGACAGAAAATATAAATGGAGAAGATGAAGAAATTTGGAATTATTTCCTTGTAGGAAAATTTTAAAACTTTGAAATGACACATCCTTGTAGAAATCTTGATGAAAAAAACACACAGAAACCTGTCCCTATAATTTTATAAGGGACTCTTATTTCTAAACATTTGATAAGCATTTGGCAGTGACCACTTTCAATGTTTCAAAGAATAGTTACGAAGACAAAAAATAAATACATTGCCCTGGCAGAGTATCTTAGGCTTCTCAGTTCCAACAGCTGCTTCTGACCTGTAGAGAATGATGGCAGTTAATGGGACTCCTGAGTGAAGAAAGGGGGGAAACACATACATACCTGTGCATGCCTGCTCTCAGGGAGGCAGAGTAACGCCAGTCAGGGTTGGGTTGTCGCGGCTGCAAAAGCACAAAGGGAGTTTTTGGTTAAAATGGCAAACATTGTTCCCTGAGGGATGTTGTTAATTGCTTAGCTGATTAGTTCTTCCCTTACATATTTTCAGGCATCTAAACAAAAGCATTGAATGAGACATTTCAAATGCAACTTCAAGATAACATTTATCTAGCTAGCTAGCTATATCACTGTGGGGAGAAAACTAAATTAAGTTCACACAGGCTGAATGCCACAGAAAACTAGATTTAGTAATAATGTGAGGGTCAGCTTTGGTGTGTCTTGACCAATACATATTTGCCTTCTTAAAACACTAGGGCAAGGGCAGTCTATCTTAAGACAGGAAAAGCTTTCTTTGTTTTTGTCCTCAAATGCTCCATTAAAGGCACACCCTCAATTCAGCATTCTTAGCTAGAACAGGCCACACAACTACACAAATTCTGCTGGCCTGGCTGCACTGCAGAGGACTGCAATCTGCTGCTGGTTTTGCAGACTGCAGCATGTTTGACCCAGGGCGGATGTGCCCAGTCATAACACCAGCAACTGATAACAGCCTCTTCTACTGACTGAAGAGGAATACTAGAAAGAGGAAAACAAACCCCTGCAGAATTTGACCTTGTTTTGCTACCTACTCTTTTTCATAAAACTGTACTTGTTCTCTGTGCTGCTCTGTGTGCATTGCCACCTCCCTCAATTCCTGTTCACCAAGCTCTGACTGTTTAAAAGGGAGTAGGTGAAATCTAAGACGACCCTCACTCATTCTGTACCACCTGTATTTTGGAAGGTTTTTTTTTTTCTCCATGTCTACAAGATGTCCAAGTGGAGGAAACAAAAAAGAAAATATGGGCACCTAATACCTATTTGGGGAGTCAGGTTCTGATTAGAAGCTACTCTGAATCACTTGGGATGCAATTAGTCACTATAATTATTTTATACCAATTAGCCCAAATTGTACTATATTTGCACAGGCAGAAATTAAAGAGGCCCAGTCATTTAATACTAAAGTCCAGTTGGTTGGAAAAGGAAGAGATGGAAACTATATTTTGTATTTCCCTGAGTTATAACTATCATATTGAGTAAACTCAAAATCAAATACCTTATAAGCTATTTCAAAGGGCCAGTAATTCTTGTTTCTATCATTCTTATAGTCCTTTTAAGGGATAAAATGTACTCAATAAATATACTTGTTCATAACACCCAAGACAGAAATAATCAGCATCTTAATTTTCCAAGAGATTTGGGAGTGTCTAGATGATACCCAGAGACTGAGTCAAAGTCAAGCCCCAGAAAAAAATTACAACTCTGGATATATTATTTCAAAGGTCCCTACATACTAACCACCCTCTCTAGTCCTCTTTCACTCTTGTTACCAAGATGTAAATATGCAAACTGTCCTGGCTTTGGTTTCCAAGTTCATAAAATCCTAGGGATATTCCATGAAAACTAGCACAAAGCCATCTATAGACCAAGTGAAAGGGAGTTTCCATTTCTACTAGTGATATTGGAAGCAACAAGAGATTCTATTTGCAAATCACATTATAAGCCTGAATATAAGGCTGAAATTTTTATTAATTATTATCATCATGATATCTCCCTTTGATATCAGCAATACCAATATTAGCTTGCCAGGTGACATAAGGTTCCTTCAAGAAAGACTCAACATCTGTAAAGAAAATGTTGCCATTTTTTCTATGATTAGGTAACATTCATGAAGAAAACTGCTGTAACTTGATCTCTGGAATGAAACCATCAACCTTATTTTTCAGAAAGGCATAGTCCTATCAGGACTGAATGGGAAACTCACTTCATTATGCAATCTCACTTCTTCAGTGACACATTTAATTTGTCATGTTGCTAACCTAGTCCATCAGCAACAATATGCTTCTATGAATCATTCCAGAATCATAGTTAAGAGATTTTATATGGCAGTAAGATCAGACATGAAAAAGGAAAGGAAGAAAGGAACTAACACATTGGAAGTAACGATACAATATTAGACAATGGAGTAAGTACTTCACACCTACTGCATACTGCTGCATTTATCATATTTCCTCCTTTGTAAGACCATAAATTTTATGAAAAGGATTGCATCTGTTTTGCTCATAAGACATAGTTATTATATTTATAGCCTAATACGATTCTGGTGTTTGGTAGATTTTTAAAATATCTTTCTTTTCTTTTTTTCTTTCTTTCTCTCATACTCTCTTTGATAAGTTAATATTTATTTGTATAAAAATTCTATTTTTTGATCTTTTGAGACAGGATCATGTTATGTAGCCCAGTCTTAAAGTCACCGTGTAGCTCTTACCAGAAAACAAACACAGACCCTTTGCCTCAGCCTCTTAAGAGTGCCAGGATTATAGTTTTGCACAACCCTTCATAGTTCACACTCTTTTAAAGCAGTTTTAGATTCATGGAAAAATTGAAAAGGTACAAATAAGCATTTTAAATAAATGAACCATCATGCAAAATTAATACAGTAAAATTACAAAAATTAGAAATCTGAGTTTTACAGAGATCAAATTATTTGTATGATTGGTACATCATACAAATTATGATTTGAGAGTTATGATTAGGTCCTTCTAATATAAAAGTCTATGTTTTAAATAAGTTTGGAAAGCATGACAACTTTTCTTCCTTTTTACTCTTGAATGTCCTCTTTATTTATTTATTTTAAAACAATGCAAAATTAAGATGTATGTAGGTTTCATCCAGAATTTGATTAACCTAGAAAAATTCATGCTGAAAGGTTGCCTATTAATACATCTAACATGACATATATTAAGGCCTTAGACTAACTATGATTGTTTAGTTCTCTAATACTTGGCTCATATATCCCAGGACTATATTTAATTTCTATTGGTAAACACTCTCAGTATTTCCTGTTGTTTCAAAGTTAAATCTGTTAGTAGATTAATAGTCATGAAGTTTCAAATGTGGAAAAACTCAACTAGGTAATTCATATGGAAGATACCTTCTTATTGAAGAACAAGAACCCACTTGTGCTTCTATTTAGATTATAACAAAGATTTAACTTATCCTATAATGGTGCTATTTATGGCTTATATCATAGGATAGTTTAGCTACAGAAGGACAAACCACTTGTTCTAAGATAGACTAAAAGTAAAATAGATAAAAAAATATCCTATGTTATTTGTATACTCACAAGACTACTCAGTAAAATAACATACTATCGTCTTACCATGTGAACTCATATTGAAGCCATGAATAAATAGTTCTCTGAGGTCAGGTAGAATCTCCTTTTATTTCATAGTAAGACTCTATTCAGAATGCACCAACTGCAAATTTTTCATAGTGATATTTTGTGAACATGGATATAAACTACGGTAGACCAGAATTTTAAGATGGCCCCAAAGACCCCCACACCAGATGTAGATTCATAATCTACACAGTTGTGATTCTGATGAGTCTTGTTCCATGTTATGTGATGTTTATGACTCTATTATCTTTAACAAAGGGAGATGATCTGAATGGGAGAGCCTTTTAAATTTAAGTTAGGGTCAGAAAAAGAAACCAGAGGATTCCAGTGAGAGAAGATTCTCCACTGCCAGACCTGAAGATGGAGAAGGACATGGGACAGGACCTGCCAGATCTGCAAGTGACCCTGCTCCCTAGCCAACAATAGGTAAAAAATATGGAAGTCAGTACTCAAGAAACTGAATTCTGCCAACAATTGAAATGAGTTCAAAAACAAATTCTTCCCCTAAACCTCTAAGATAGTATTCAGTGCAGCTGACTTTAGGCTAAAAAAACTTGAACAGAGAACTCAACCATGAGGTGCAGGGACAATGAGATACCAAATGGGTGGGGTTTTAACCAACAGTTGGTGATAATTTGTTACAAAGCAGTAGTAAAAGAATATGCTTAAGGGCCCGGGGATTTAACTCAGTGGCCTAAGTGCCTGCCTGGCAAGTGCAAAGTCATGAGTTTGATCCCTAGTACCCCCTAAAAACACACACACATGTATTAATAAACTAAAATTTTAATAAATAATTAGTATGTTACAGACTAGTCTTGCAGTAAATCAAAACGAAATGATGATAAAGTTAAGAATTCTGAATGCAATTATTTACAATTCTAGTCAACTGGACAGAAAAGTAAAATAAACACAACTTGGGAACATACCTCATAGTTCTAGGACAACAGAAAGTGCTAGGTCTACTTAATTCTGGATATACAGCTGCTAGCACAGCAGCTACTCTCTCACTCACAGTTGCATTTCTCTGAAGCTGAGCATTCTGACTCTGAAAGGCCAGAAACAAACTAGCATTTCTATTCATCTCTGCAATGTCAGATATTTCTTTGCACTTGTCATATTCAAATTCTTGGGGGGGGGAGCTAGTATGACTTTCAGGTTAGCAGATTTAAAACACAGCTAAGGAATCCTCTTGACCTGTAAATTTTGAAATCATAAATATACCAGTCAAAATATTATCACTGAATCAACTAAATCTGTGCTCATATTAAATTATGCATAGACACACTGTTTCAGGTGAAGTCCTGCAAAAGTCACAAAAATACCTGTAAAACTCTATTAAATTCAACTACACTCCTGGAATGGTGATGCAGATTTTTCCTCAAACATTTGCAGATTGCTATAATTTTGACCTCTCAACGAAAGCAAAACTTGGTAGCCAAGCAAGGCAAGTATCCAGAACTTGCTCTGCTATTCCATCAAGCAGAGAGCATGCCAACAGACAATGTATACTATGCCAGGCCGTGCCCCTGCAGAGTGTTCTGAGTTAGACCAGATGTCCAAGTGATGGCTCACTCCTGGGTCAGAGGAAAGGGTAGACCAATGACATCCAAATCACAATGCATAGGTTTCTCCATTAGTTAGAATATGTGCAAGATAAAGAGACAGAGAAAAATTCATAATTCCACTGGCTCAACAGTCTGTAGAAAAAGTGAGGAAGGAGATAATATGAAGAAATCATTATATTATGAGACCAAAGAAAGCAAAACATTTTTTCTCCAAAAGAACAGTCCTGTAACCAATATGAAAATAGCAAAACACTAACAAAATAGGAGCCAGTGGAGGATGAAACACTGTAATGGAATTCATAGATAAAATTTCTTAGTCTATTGTGACTATTGAACAACTTTTATAAATTCATCTTTATATCACTTTACATTGAGTAAGAACTCTGCTACAGGTTAAGACTCACCAGATAGAAAAGTCAGTCCTGGGAGGAAAAGTGAATTAGGTGCCACTAGAGAAATGGTTAATGACTTATAGGTCATTATACCCAGAATTAAGGTGAATTGTGCACACAGCAGCAGCAATAACTGAGACTTGGTGATCACAAATTTCTTTAAAATAAGTTAAAGTGAACACAAACTTAATTCATCTCTAGTGTTTTGTAATTCCCATATGCTGTGTCAAGTGGCCCCACTAAGACACAGTTGGACAAATCTGCTCAGAGAACTCCAAAAGATTCATCAGCACTCACAGCACGAATGTACAGAATCTATCTTAAGATTCAGTTTCTTTTCATGGAGACTGAAGAGACTGCCAACTACATTCAGTATCAGGTTTTAGAACCTCCAAAAGAATTCTGCCCCATTGCCAAATAGTTATTTTAAGAACCTTACTATACAGGTGACCCATTAAAGAATTTTCTTTAACTCACCAAAAGATTAGAGTCTGGCACCAAATTCTAATTTTTAATTAGCAACAAGAAGAATTTAGTGAAAGAACAGAGATAAAAGTTGTAAAGCAAATAAATAGAACATATTACCTGGCACTAACATTTTACTAATTTTCCCACTTGTTATCTACTTCTATCAAGGAATTAATACTTTCCAAAAGCAGTCAATTTACACTGCTAGGTAGACCACCGGGGGCCCAACTGTCTAAATAACCCATGTAAAAATATAAACATTGGGATTTCTGTCTACTCCTACTATGAAAAACACACAGTCTTTAGAGCCAGACAGACATCACTTGAAATACCACTAGCAATAGGATTGTATGTGTTATTGAACCTCTCAGGTTGATCAATGTTTGTTTAATACACGACCCAGAGGAAACAAAATCATACATACATACTGAAAAGCGTGAAATTTTTTATATAGCAGGGTGGTCAGTGAGTGCAAATTCCTTTCCTTGAATGAATTTCCAATTCCAATGCAATTTTAATACAGTGTAGGCACATTGCATTGATTGTGCTCTAGAACTCTCCTGCCATCTGCATTAATTAGACAAGGAAGAGAAAACCCAATATGGGCAATTTACAGGTTGATCTAGCAGTGATGACTTTCAAAATTGAGTGATTTTTTGTTCTCAAGCTACAACACTGAAACTTTCTCTTTCCCTATAACTGCAATAATTTCAGGAGCTGTATATTTTGGGGTCTTTCATTGAATTCCAAGAGTCTAGCAGAAATGTGCCTTTACTAAATTCATACACTGTCCTGGCAAAATCCTACGAGAGCAAATGCTTTTTTTTTTCTTAACATCATTTCCTCCCTAAATTAAAGGTTTGTGTACCAAAGTATCTGTTAACATACAGGTTAGTGTAAGACAGAAATAGTGCATGTATCAAATTACCCTAAAGTTTGAAGCAGGAAAGGGAGGGTAAGAATGTCATTGTTCTAAGCTTTCAGCTCACAGCTGGTGGCAAAGTTGAGCCTTACCTGGCTTGTGCTCCCTGTCTCTTCTCCCCCTGCAGTCCACTCAGTCCCAAAGGACTTCACGGGAATTTATCAAGCAAATATCTTTAGTATCCTTACCTAAAACTAAGCCTTTTTACATTCTTCTAAGAGTTATGATGTAAAAAATTCTGAAAACTTTTTGATTTTACACCTATTTTTCTGTAGTCTTTATACCTAACAATATGAGTCTCTCCTATGGCTACGCAGCATTGACTAACAGGCTCTTCTGATAAATAAATAAATCTATCTACAATGTCCAGGGAAAAGTTTACTCTCAAGAATGAAACATTATGTGCTTATGTATCACTTTACTCAAGATTATCAAGAATTTAGAGTATGACAATACCGTATGGACATTAACAGAAAGATAGTAATAAGTGAGGGAAAAGACTAACAAAAACATAGGACAGCTAAATATGGTTGTTAACTCAATCTGTGCTAGGTCCCAAAGTCCTAGCTATAAAGTAGCTGTTTAAGAAGACTGTTCTATTTATGGGACAATATTTTGGCTTTTTAAACCTAAATTTAAAGTATCACAAAACAGATTTTTATTACTTCAAGCATACATACAGACAAACATACTACACAAACACACCTATATGTGTACTCACCCACCTTTTAATAATTTATGTACGTTATTCATAATAATGAATAATTTGGTCTTATACCTACCTACTACTCAAAACTGCTACCCATCTATCTTCATGTACAATAAACCATCCACTTTCCAACTCTTTTGAAGCTAATACAAGCCAAATTTTATATGGATGAAATTAGCTTTGGAAGTATTGTCATTTTGTAAAGATATGAGGGGCTTATAAGTCTACACCTCATCATAACCACACAAATTGTTAACGGGGAACCAGAAGATTACAGACTGCATCTGAGATAAATGCAGGGTTATCCTCTTAGAGTGAACTTGGCCAGCCAGAAAACTGGCCAGGAGAGAGTTCTTGTTTTCTTCCCACAAATCCTACCTTGTCCTGGTCTTTATATCCCCACATATCTCTAATCAATCATTCTAATAACACTTTTGTACAGTCATACAAATTTGTATTTAATGTCTCTGCTTTACCATTATTGATTTCCTTTGACAGCCCTCTACAAGAGTGACCACATCATCTAGCCAAAGCAAACTCTGACTACAGGGTGAGACCTACATTCTGTGGTTTTATCACCTCTGACATGAATTTCCAGAGGATCCTATCACATTAGTTCAGTGTAATTACTGGAGATATTAACTTGATAATGTACTCTGCAGAAAGTCTAAGATACAAATAGGGATAGCATGTAAAGGGCACCATGACAGCCCCTAGAGGTCTAAAGAGTATTTTAAATTTATAACAAAACAAAACAAAACAAAAGAACTCTTACTTATCAGGATGCTTTTGAAAAAGCTAACAACAATAACAACAACAAAACTTTCCCTGGAGATGACACAGCAGAGGTCTTTTCTCCTTGCATTTTGTAAGGTTACTTCATGAAACATAATTCTTATTCCCAGGCCTGTTCTATTTCTCTAGGTGTCCTTTAACATTAAATATTTAAGTTAATTCTCACCTTTCAAAAAATTTTATGGATTAAATCTGCATACAAGTGAAAAGAAAATTGGAAGTAAGCTAGTTCTTTAGTGCTATTTTTGTAGAGATGAAATATAACAGATAATGACCAAATAAAAGGTACTATTAACATTTAGTTTTTTAAAAAAAACAAACCCTGTCACTGTTAATAATTCAGTAAAGCTAACCACATAATATTGGAGGGCATGTGAAAAATGCATGTCTTTCTGGAAGACCCCTTGACCACTGTCTCACCTCATTTTGAGAAACAGCTTCGTTTTTGAGAATAATCAGGTTTCCAGCACTCTGCCCACTTTGACCTGTGAGTTGCCTGTTGTCCGCCACTGCTGCTTGGGCTCCCCCAGGTCCTGATCCTGCCTGGGCCCCTGTGTTGTAAAACATGAAAGTATCACTCCCTGAGCCTGCTGTCAGACAGGCCTTGTAGCAGTAGGTCTTGGTGAGGGAGCCATTCCCTCGAACCTCAATGAAGTGAGGCTGCACTTTGAGGCCAGGTGGTAACCTGGCATCAATGTTGTTGTTGGCCTGTTTGTACAGTTCTGCAGGGGATCTCTCCCTCACTCCACAGAAGCCTCCACAGCATGCAGTGCCATATGCAGTGTAGCGGTAGCACTTGATGATGCTCAAAACAATGATTGTCAAAAGAAATATAAAAGACACTGTGCTTAATGCTATTATCAGATAAAGTGTGATTTCAGAGTATGTCCGAGGGCTCTTAACATGTCTGTGAGTATCAGGGAGGATTTTAGAAACCCTGTCCACCACAGCTATTGTAATGGCCACAGAGGCTGAAAGTGGTGGCTCTCCATTGTCACGGACCACCACAGTCAGATTAAAAGTGGTACCACTCTCATCTCCTATCTTTCTGGTAGTCCTAATTTCTCCTGTGTGCAGCTCTACTTTAAAGAGGTCCAAGTCAGAAGTCTGGGCTAGATGGTAAAAGAGCCAAGCATTTTGCCCAGAGTCTGAATCCATGGCTATGACTTTGGTGACCAGATAGCCAGCAGGGGCAGTTCGAGGCACCATCTCAATGGCTGCTGATGAATTGGTTGAGGTAGGATACAGAATATGAGGGGAATGGTCATTCATGTCCACCACATACATGTTGGCGGTCACAGTGCTGCTCAGTGGTGGCGTTCCTTTATCTTGGGCTTCCACAGTAATGAAGAACTCCCGAAACTTCTCATAGTCAAAGGAATTGACAGCATAAAGGCTGCCACTGGCACTGTTAATGGAGACATAGGAGGTGACTGGCAGCCCTTGAATCTCCCTCTCTAGGAGGGAGTAAGTCACCTCTGCATTCTCCTTTTCATCTGGGTCTGTGGCTTGCACAGTGCAGAGCAACACCCCTGGCAAATTGTTCTCCTGGATGTAGATGGAATAGGAGTCCTCCAGGAAGCTTGGAGGATTATCATTGATGTCAGAGATCTTAACCTGCAGCGTCCTCTGGGATGTGAGCTGTGGTATTCCCCCATCAGTAGCTGTCACTGTGATGTTGTAGGCAGCCACCTTTTCACGGTCCAGTGGGCCACTCACCACCAGTGTATAGGAGTTTCCATAGCCATTCAGCCGGAAGGGCAGTGTGGCCTCCAGACTCAGGCTCACTTTCCTGTTGAGACCTGAGTCTTGGTCATTGACACTGAGAAGAGCCACAACGGTGTTGGGGGAAGCATCCTCAGGCACTGGGCTATATAAGTCGGTGAGCACCACCTCTGGTGCATTGTCATTTACATCCATAATGTCCACCTGCACCTTGCAGTGACCTGCCATGGGCACTGGACCCCGATCAGTCGCTTGCACATAGATCTGGTAGGAAGAGGCCTCCTCATAATCCAGCGCCCCACTCACTCGCACTTCCCCAGTACTGGCGTCTATGCTGAACAGCTGCCTCTCCCGGTCTGAGGTGTAGCTGCTCAAGGAGTACCTGAGCTCCCCATTGGAGCCCTCGTCGGGGTCTGAGGCATTCAGCTTCACCACCAAGGTGCCCGGGGGCGCGTCCTCTCGTAGCTGGACGCGATAAGTGGACTGGTCAAAGGCAGGAGAGTTGTCATTAGTGTCCAGGACATGCACAGAGATCTGAGCGGTGCCGGAGTGCGCCGGGCTGCCCCCGTCCACGGCTGTGAGAACCAGGTGATGCAAAGCCGCCTGCTCGCGGTCTAGGCCCTTGCGCAGGACCAGCTCCAGCACTTTACTGTTCTCCTGCAGGGGTTTAAGGTCCAGTTCGAAGTGTTCGCTGGGGCTGAGTTCGTAGGTCTGCACCGAATTGGTGCCCACGTCGGGGTCCTGCGCGCTCTCTATGTGAAAGCGCGCTCCGGGCGCCACCGACTCGCTTACCTGAAGCTGGTAGTCTGGCCGCGGGAAACGCGGTGAGTTGTCGTTGATGTCCAGGATTTCCACCTCCACGGCGCTCACGGCCACGGGGTTGTGCGCCAGCAATTCCAAGCTAAGTAGGCAGCGAGGCCGTTGCTCGCACAGCGCCTCTCGATCAATGCGCTCATTGACGAAGAGCGCTCCGTTCGTCAGGTCCAGCTCCAAGTAACGAGGGCTGGGCGCACCCAGATGGTGGATGCGCAGGCAGCCTGGCCCCAAGCGCCGCAGTTCCAGCCCCAGTGCTCTCGCCACGTTGCCCACGAGCGCGCCGGGTGCCTGCTCCTCCGGTACCGAGTACCGTAACTGAAAGGCCGCCGGGCACGGCAGCAGCAGGAAAGACAGCAGCGGCAGCCAGGGCAGGGGCTGCCGAAGACGGGGACGTCCTGTCGGCCGAGGTCTGGTGCCCGCCTGCTCCATAGCCGCCGGCCGCGGCGGAGGCAGCCGGGCAGGGCCGGAGGCAGCAGCTTCGCCGGCCGCGCTGCACGCCCGGGCCCCGCCTCCGCCTCCGCGCCCGCCGCTCGGGCTCACGCGCTAGCACACGCCCGGGGCCGCTGCCCCGGCGGGCCGCCTCCCGGGCTCCTGGCCCCGCCGCCGCCGCCGACTCCCCATGCCCCGCTCCTCCGCTCGCCCGGAGTCCTGCAGCGCGGCTCTGCTTCCTGCCGCCCGCCCCGGCGGAGGGAAAAGGAAGCCGGAGGGGCGGGGCGGGGCGGGAGGGAGAGCGGGCGAGCCCCGTGCCAATTCCGCACCCGAGTGGCGACGGCGACCCCCGCCCGCCCCGCCGCGCCGGCTCGTCTCCTTCGCCCGGACCCGCCGGAGCGCGCGGGAGCGCGGACACTCCCTGCCTCCTCCCCCACGGCCTGGCGGTGCGGGCTCCGCCGTCTCTCGCCTGCTTAGCGGGTCTTGGAAGATTAGTCGGAAAAAAGCAGTTAAGTCTCTAGAGCTCAGGCTATCGGCTCCCCAGGAAAATATTTATTCCTAAACACAATCCAGGAAAATAAACCGACGGGCCCCTCCCTCAGTATGGGGACCTGGGCGGTGGCTCTAATATTCAAAAGAAACCAAGCGCTGGGGAGGCGCTCAGGGCTCCTGGGCTGGCGACTGATTATTTACCTGACCCCCCACATCTTCCAGGGCGTACTTTTAAGTACTACAGAAAGTGCTTAGCTCTTAAGGCAAATGCTGGGGTGGCAAATGCCATCCTCTTTGAGAAAGCCAGCCTAAAGCTGGCATTCTGGGGGGGGGGGGTGTCCAGCACAGCTCCTAGCCCAGCCGAGTGGCCAAGTGGACGAGTGGATGTTACTTTCAGTGTGTGCCTTGGCAAAGGACCAATTCCTCGGTGATTAAAATACCTCTTTAAACAATTGATTCCGTGAAGCTGCAGGAAAACCTCTTATTTGGCCCATTTTGATCACAGTGGGGGGAAAATCTGGTAAAAATTTTAACAGTTTCTTCCCTCAAGCTTTCCTTAATCTTCAAATCTTTTTCACTTATCACCCAAGACATTATCTTTCAAGAGTGATTTTAAATTTTTTCTTTAATGGCTAACAATGTCTTTGAGAGTCTGTAAAACCATTCAATCAAGAGAGTTACTGTTGATCTTCCAAGCCAGGCTGGAATCTGAACTCCATAACTGCTTTGGAGGAGGAAAAAAAAAAGAATCTGCTGTAATTAAGCAAAATGTGGGTGGCTGAGATTTATCTTACAACAGCCAGCAATTTTTGAGGCTGCAGCTCATCTTCTATAAATATAAGGTTCCTATAGACCTCTGTGTCTCTGTGCCCCAAAGACTCCCCTTACATTGCTGCAGAGGCAATAGACAGACAATTTCTCTTCAATGAACAAGAAAGCCAAAAAGCACAGGAAGTCTTTCTGTGCTGTGTCATTGCCTTTGCTTCTCAGTTCTGAATATGCCCTCTTCCCAGACCCTCCCATCTCTTCCATAGAGATTTAATATTATTGCCCCGTGTTCAAAAAGCACTCACTAAAATGTCTTTTCTCTTCCTCATCTCCCAGCATCCTCTGGGTAATTCTGTAGCTAGTGACTGGAAGGTAGCCAGGGTAAGAGCTGACATTTGGCATACTTCTTCTCTTAAAGCGACAATTGAGGGAGCCAAGGTTATGCTCCTAACACTCAAATTTCAAATGCCTGCACTAGCACAACCCTATCTGCCAAGTGCATTTACAGTATTCCACAATCCAACCAATTTTGTTTAAAAAAAAAAAAACTCAAAATTCCAAGCTTCCTCTTATCAGGGCTGCTTCTTACTTGTCCTTCTCTGTTCCCTCAGTGGTGCAGAGGGAGGAGTAATTTCCATCAAAATCTATTCCTGTTTCCTCTCTCAGATCTCTGGCTTCTGCCTCTTCTGTCTGCATTCTCCCCAAACATCCCTTAGTAACTCTGTCTCTGTTTGCTGTGGTAATTTGATCTCAGAGAGCCTTAATCTCTCAAGTGCACAAATTGTAGACCTGGCCTATGTCCTCACCCATTACTTATTTCTGAAAACAAATGGCTTATAAGTGGAATCGAGTTATAAGTTGTCAGGAAAAGTGACCTTTCTTCCCCTCAACTCCTCCCAGCCCTCACAGTTGCTGCCACCTCTGCCCACAGCTCAGCAACCTGCCACTGGGTATTGACCATACATGGCCCTGTGCCCCTGAAAAGATCACAAGCACTTAAGGAGGAGATTAAGTGATAGAGATTTCATGGAGTTTTTAATGGAAGCCTGAAAGTGTCCTGTCTCAGGAGAACAACCATAGCTTGTCTTTCAGCAATCCTGCCATCTCTTAGCAAGGACACCTGCCAGGTTGCCCATTTTGATGCTTTGAGAGCATAAGCTCCAACTAGTATTTACTCCCTCACTGAGTGAGAAGGCAAACAGAGACAACACAGTTAGCCTTCTTTTCAAAGTCATTATACCAAAGAGTTGCTATATGTCTACCTAACACCACAGTGATTTCACTCTTCACACTAGCCTACTGACACTCCTGACAACCTTACCAATTGTTGGAATGTGATTTCTCAGACTGTTTGTAACGACTTTTCTGTAAGTATTAATAGGAATGCCCTGACCACAGTATAATGCATTCTTTCCCTTAGACCTTCAAGAAACCCCAGTGATGAAGCAGAATGTTAGAAACACTTGAAGTCAGTTACAAGTGTGTGAATGATTGTATGCTTTTAGATTTAAACTTACCTAAACTTTCAGTTTACTTCCTTCAAAAGGGGAAAATATTACCAAGTAAACCTGAGAGAATTTATTATGATTACATGAGCAAGTTTGTAAAGCAAGTTGCACAGTGATTGACAAGTGGGTTATTATTATGAGTGGCAGTGATTATGATGTTATTAAATGCAGCAATTTATTATCATCAGACATATCCTAGCTGATAAGTCTATATACAACATAGACCCTTAAATAATAAACACAGGTAAGTGCCTATAATTACGCCACCCGAGAAATAAAAATAATAATTGGGACAAGAGTATGCACCAAAGTTAGGCTTTCTAAATGTTTTTTCCAAATTATTTCTAGAACTTATGCTATATATTGGGAAAAAAAAACGAAATAGCCCCTTTTTATATCACCAAGGAAAAGGAATTTCTGCCACGAGAATTCCTTCAAAAGATTTTGTTTCTTCACAAGATTCATCTTTTTAAGATTCATAAAAATACCTTAGCAAGCTGCGTATGAACTCATTCCTAAACATGCTATGATCTCCAAAACCCAGCCTAAAACTTGGCACTGAAGGGTTCAACTGAGATTTTTGAACAGAAAAAAATTTATAAATTTATTAGTGCAATTATAAGTAAAACCAGTTTCTTCTTTCTCCTTTTCAGAATTCTGCATACATTTATGGGTCTAGCTCAAAACTCACCTAAACCATGAAAGTGTTTATTGTAAACACAAAGATTATTTTTTTTCTCCTTCACAACCTATAGCGTATCTCTGAATATTGATACGTATCATTCTTTAATTCATCCAAATACTTATTAATTATCTTTTTATTATCAGCAGCCTAAATGCAAGAGCTTTTTTTTTTAAACTTACATTTGTATCTTCTTCACAGCATAGGAAATTATAAACTCTAAAAAAATTTTAGCTGCTTCATTTGCTTCAGATTCTGTGGTTAGCAAATTCAAGGACAGCTGCTAAAATGCAGGCACTACCCCTTTGTTGAGTAGAGACAAACTGTCTTACTGAGAGGGAGGGTCCCAAAGCCTGCAATAATTTTACTTAAGGTTTCTTCCTTTAAAAATGTCAAATGAAGATATGAAACAAAGTTTCATAACAAGTAGGAAAATTAAATACTACTAAGAAAGCTGTTGTCTTTCCAAAAGTAATGTTATCATGTTTCTAATTTTGTATTATAACTAGAAATAATAAAATAATATGAAAAGCGACGTGATTAAACAAAAGCCATAATAATACAGGACATTATATTTGTTTACCCTTAGGCTACACAAAACTTGGAAAGAGTATCCGCAATTCTATTTTTTAATTATATTTGTAAAATCTTCTCTCATGAGATCATGAGACACAGGAGTAGACCAATCATAGCAAAAAAGAATTAGAGTGACAATAACAATACATGCAGTAAATTCTCCTAATTCATATAAATTTTTCTTCATTATTATTAGTATCAACATGAATCATTTTATTTTGGGAAACCAAATGACTTGGAGTCTTTTGGCTACAGGGCAAACGGCTCATTAGTTTGATCAGGTTTGGGACAGGCCATTATAAGAGTATCCAAAAATAAGGAAGAACTAGTTTTCACTTTTAATTTGTGAATTTACATTGATCCACACACTGAGCATGTGTCATACACTAAAAGGCAAACATCCTGAAAATGTAGCCGTGACCTAAAGTAGTTTAAAAGTTATATCTTGTTACAAAAAAGGATCAGTATTCCTGATCCTCATGCATTCCAACATAGAAAATACTTTTCTATATGATTAGAACATTATTTATAGGAACATTGGCCTGAAAATGGGGAGATGAAGGCGTTTTTTCATATGAAATGACAACTGAATTTTTTCACATGTTTCTTCTTCCAGAGGAAATATATATCAGTAAAGTATTTGACATTAATAATTGGCTTTTGGGGAGGGGCTTTCTAAATTTTTAGTTTTAGGAAATTAATATATCATTGCTTAGAAATGCTGAAATTGCTTAAACAACAGGAATTTAAGCCACCTTTCAATGAGTAGCTGTAAAAAGGGACAGACAGGCTAATGGCATGGGGAATATTGTACCATATTAACAGATAAAGTCAAACTTTATTTCTCTATTAGTATTCTCAATTAAGATGGCATAACAAGAATCATAAACTACTGAACGTTGAGATTTACTTAGAAATACCTTACCCAAATTCTTTGTCTTTCATAGAACAAAATTAATAACGGAAACTTAAAACCCTAAGAACAATTAAGACATATACAGGAAGCATAAAAAGTGATATGGGTCAACTGTCTGTAACCAGATAAATGATCTTCCAAGATACTAAAAAAAATTGCAGATGTGACTAGGAAACTAAATT